GTGTTGTCATTCTGTTTTAAATGTGAGACTGTTCTGTATTTCCATAAGACACAGGCTGGAGGATCATGTGTACATGAAGAATGCAGTATGCCTTTGGTTGTGGCACCTTTGAGCAGTCATTGTGTCTCAGCTCCCTCTCAACTCTGTCACTTCATTTCTGCCCTGTAACATTCGTTTCCCATAACACTCTCACCTCCACAGGGGAGTGGAAAATTGTTAACAAAATGACACACTTTTCTGGAGCTTTTCTAAACAATGAGAGTCCCATTGGTTTCAAGATTAAGCTAAAAATCCATGCAAAGTAGTATTTCTCAGGATGCATAGTGAGCATGTTGAGTTTAGCAGGTTCAGAATGAAAAAGATTCTTGTCACAGTGAGATTCTTTTAGATTCCCATTTGAAGCAAGTGATAAAGCTTTTCACTTCAATGAGGCATAAATAATAAGACATCATTCTTCCAACCTCTATTTGTCAGTGGGATTCAGAGTTCTCATGAAAAATTCATGCTTGAAACAAAACAGATTTCCTCTTTAATAACTAGCCTATATTAGATTGCTATCTTCTACCATTATCTGATCATTATTATTACAGAATATTGATTATATTTTGATTTATTGAGAATGTTTTAGTTATTTTTTACAATAGATCATTATAGTTTTTACTTAAGAGTACCCCACTGTATTCTGATTGAAAACATACCCACAGAGACATAGATCTCAGGGCTTCTAGGAATCATTTTTATCACCTTGTTGAATTCCTGCCTTACTAGACTGTAGATTTCCCTTTGTAATTCCACCATCAAGTCCAAAAATTCATGGTTGAACTAGGGATTGTCGTTTTAACATGCATCCAGTCATGATTCAATGCCTCCAAGTAATGGAGAATTTACAGCACACTTTATAGTAAACTGTTCCAATGGTTCATTACTCTTACTCCACCTTATTTCCAGCTCCAAATTTTGCCAAACTCAGCTTCTAACAACTGATCCTCATAATGCTTTCAATGTCTCTTAAGTCATCTACAATCAGATATGTGGAAGTGCAAAAAAAGGAGTTCTTCAAAAATAAAACCAGTCCAAAAGCTGTTTCTTCATATTTTACAGAAGATCAGTGGGTTTAACAGAATTCTATTGGTTATCAAGAAAAGAGTTTGGCTGTTTTATTCTTTTACAGAAACAGATACAACAAGAAGTTCTTCTGAGGTGCACAGGCACAGCTCAAAGCCCACCTCAATGAATTCAAGTTTCCCCATGTCTTCAGCAGGATTTGCATCATGCTTGAAGAAGGATCAGAAAACTGCATAGTCAAATATACCTTCAAGTAAGAACATCCCTCAAAAATAATATAAAATGAAAGCACTTTAAAAGGTATGCCCAGTGTGCTGACCTCACGACATGACACTTCCTATTTCAAATAATAAAACTGATTAAGTTTCAACAAAACAAATTTGGTGAAAGATGTGCAAAAGTGGAGTCTGATACATTTTTAATTGAATGTTAAAATTTCAAATTGAGATGAAGGAGAGCAGAGGAAGGAAAGGTCACTTCTGTGCTTCTAGAGAAATTTAATTTTAATTTCTATGGATATGTGAAACAATGTATCTTGATTGTAAGTGTAAAGGTGGAAGATCCAGTCACTCTAGAATTGCAGACAGAGATTTGGCTAATTACTAATTCTACTTAGTGTTCACAAATGTGTAGTTTATTTCTGTGAGAAACAACAGTGAATGATGTCTTATTCAATTAAAAAAATATTGCATCATCAGAAAAATAGCAAAATCAAGATGTCTTCTTTGAGTTCTCCATCAGCTAAACCCAGCTTGAGCCTAAATTCTGATTTTACTGGACAGTTTAGGACCAAATAGTTGGAATTGTTTACCCGTGAATGTGTGTTATTTTGTAAGCAGGAGAATGAAATGTGTAGACATCTGCTACAGAAATGTGAGTGTCAAGAGAGAACTGAAGAAAAAAACCATACATTTTTCCCCTTACTTTAAAAAAAAAAGGATGCAAAACAAGCCAAATTAAATACTTTAGTAGAGGGGCTTTCCTACTTTGGATGTCATCAGTTTCTAGTTAGAGGCATGTCTCTCAGATCCTGTTTGTGCCCAGCTTCATGGACTCTGCATCCTTTCACCTGCAACCTCTGCAGGCGCTATGCAGGGACACTGCTGACTACTGGCTCGACCAATAGGACTCCATGTGATCCAAATTCAGCCAACAGAGCAGCTCCAATTTGGCACAATTAGTGAAGCTTTGAAATTAGCACATTTTTCATTTCAGGAGTGTCTCGGTACAGAGGATGAATCGCCATCACCCTCTCCTGTCTCAGAGCAAGCACTCTGCAGAAAACTATGGTTCATACGTGTGGGTATTTTAGCAGCCTTGGAAAAACAAAAAGAGGGAGGCAAAAAAAGTGGAGGCAACTCCTGTGCAGGATTCAGGAAGTCACATCCTCGTTCTCCTATTCCAGTGCAAATGGAAAACAATTTAAACCTCCTGAATTCGCAGTGATACAATTGAGAACTGCCACAATAACACATATTATTCTCCAGTAACTGCACAGGCAGTGGCACACCATGGTACCTCAGAGTATGAACAAGCCCTTGGGGAGTCTTCTGTCCATCTGACCTGGACCTGAACAGCTTTGAGCAAGATCATTTCAACTGGGGAAAAAAGCTGCAAAGTGAAATGGAGCTATATTTTATTTCTTCATTTGCCTGGGTATTTCTGCAGCCTATTTGTGCTACAGCAACATGTGCCATGGTAAGTAATGGTCAAGAGAGATCAATTAAGCTCTGAAGGTTTACACCTTCACCAGACCACAACAGCTGTCAGTTTTATTGCCTACTCCCTGTCATGATTTTTGTGAGAGATAATAAAGTGAAAGTCTTCCTTAAGGAAATACATTGCAACCAGTTGCAGAGGTTTGACTGTAACAGGGGCCAGTCTGAATTTCACAGGTTTTTTACAAGACATATTCAAAATCCCTTTAGCAGTTTGCAACACAGTCAGATATCTTCAGTTAAAAATGAAAAATACACAAACACGTATGTGTCACTCAGAACATTGGCACTTAAGTGACATTAACATGTATTAGAAACTAGCACCATTATATTTTCACCCACACCTTTAAAATGAGGAGGTGATTTCTGACTGGATCAGACCAGAATCTGCTATAAAAGAAAGGATTAATACTAATTCCTACTCTCAGATTTTCTTAAATACATAGCGGTGAATTTTAAAGCTGGTATACAGTGTTTTCTTCTGTTTTAACCCAGATGGCTTATAGGACAGTGCTACAGTTGTGTCCTCAAATATTGATATTAGGATAACCCACTGAAGATCAAGTTAATAGCAGACTTACACATCTTTCATAATGCTACATAGAATTTAAATAAAATTGCAAACCACATTATTGTAATAATGCTTGACAACTGTAAAGTATTTCAGATAGTCTGCCTTTCATACTAAGAATGTTTTACCACACGTGAAGTAAATTTGACAAACTGTTGAATGACAATTAAAATCTGTCATGACCTCTTCCTTAAAATGATCTTCAACTTTTTTCCCTGTCTCTTTTAGAAGATGCTTGTTTAGGAATCAAAAAGTTAATTTCATTAGTTTTATGGATATAGCAAAAATTGGAATGTGCCCCTGAAATAACAAGGGGATCTTCAGGTGAAGCCTTCTTAGCAAGGGAAATTATTATTCCTGCCCTGCGCCCTCAAGTTCTGTGAAGATTCCTTTTTCATGGATAGGCTTTTCCCCTCTCTTCTCATTTCAAAGGCATTTTGCTGAGGAAGGAGTACATCCTAAAAACAGAATCACAGTTTTGCCTACTGCAACATAGTGCAGTTGTCTGATGCATTTCTTTTCCTTTATGCTGAATGAAATGTAACTCTGCTTAAACTTTACAAGAAAGGATTCTGTTGTATAAATGGAATATATTTATACATTCTACTCGAAGCTGTAGAAACATACAGGCAAGATTAATTTTCTCCCTTTCCTTTGCCATACTTTGTCACCAACTGAAAGAAATTTAAGTTAAACAGGAAAAATACTGTGAGAACAAATAAGAAGAGATTTTTATTGCCCTACAATGTTTAAGTTCTGTTGTCTGGAATTATTCAGCAAACGTCAATGGTAAAGGATTAGGGTATTGGAATTAAAAAATCCTGAGATTGGGCATAAATCTATTGCAGCTGTGAAAGTGGAAAAATGTGGAAAATCCAGCATTGCTGTCCCAGGAAAACATACAGTTGTTTCAAAAGTAATGATGATCAGCTCAGACAAGTTGATCATTATTATCACGAGCTGAATCATTAAAAGGGTGTTAAGCTACTGGAAACTTTCAAGAGATGCAGCTTTTCCGGATCACCATCAGCAAGTAAAAAGTCCCATTTCAGAGTAACTGGCAGCTGGTGCTTCAGCCAAATCCATGTCCTGATCACATCCCTGAGCAGGGAAGTGCAGATGAAGCTCATATACAGAAAGGTGGGCAGTCATTTTCAGTGTGTGTGTGGCACTGAACAGAAGAGGTTATCAAAGTCTTTCACTTCTCAGGTACCTGCCCATATAAAATCACACACCTGAAGTGGGGAGATGGAAAAGATCTTTGGAGAAAAGGTATTTTGAATTATAAGGAGAGGTCTCCTAAAATATAGCTGAGCCTTCTTAGTCGTGTTCTGGCTTTTTCTTTATTCTTATTTCCTCTGGAAAGTTCACTATCCTGTCATTCTGTTGTAATAAAATAATCTTAGCCTTCTGGGATCTTATTTCCTTTCTCTGCTTAACCCCAGGATATTTGTAAAGTCTCAAAAAGCTCTGAATCAGAAGTTTCCTAATACAAACTGGGGCGTGTATTTAAGCCTCTTATTTAAAAAAAAAAAAAAAAAAAAAAAAAAAAAAAAAGTTGGTTTGTTTTTTTTTCTTTTTTGCAATAACACATTTCAACATACAGTCCTCATTCCAGCCATAGCAACCCAGCCCAAACTGAATGGGAGACTCACCATCAGCCTGAACAGAGATGATCTGAAGTAAGAAGAAGAAGAAGAAGACAGATCCCACGCCCTGGAGAAAGGTGAGAGGGAATCTCTGAGAGCCTGGAGCCATTGCCCTGCTTCCACAGCCCCCAGCTGCAGGAGGTTGGCTGCCGAGGCTTTTTCTCTCTCCTCCTCTGCACTCTCGTAGCCGGGTCTGCCGTGATGATTTCAAGGAGCCCTTTCCCTCGGCAGGATCCTGCGTCTTGGGTTTGCACTGAAGGCGGGAGGGGTGGAAAAAGAAGGAGGGAGGGAGAGAGGAATCCTTGGCTTGGCTGGTGTGAAGGGGAGGGGAAGGTGGGGGGAGATGTCCAGCCAGCTGGGCTTGGGGAGAGGCTTTACCCAGCCCGGTCTGCAGGGCAGCGCGCACAGAGAGCCGGTGTGAAAAGTCACATTATCCTGCCCGTAAATACCTAATGGATCACCGTGGAGGAAAGGCAAAAGCCAGCAGGGAGAGAGAAAGGGGGAAAGGACAAGCAACAGCAGCAGCAATCCCTGTGTGAGGGAGAAGGGCAGCTCCATAGCTGGTGCTGGTTCCCGGTGAGTTTGGGGCTCGGCTGTGCATCTCCCGAGGGATGGGTGCAGGCGTGGGGAGCATTTTCCTCTCCTCAACACAAAATCAGCCAGCAGTGCCTTGCTGAGGTCAGGGGCTGCTGCAGCAAGAGTGATGGTGCTCAGGTGAGGGCTGAGGACAGGTGACAAAGGCACGGGACCCTGGTGACCAAGCCTCCCTGAAGAGCAGCCCTGGGATGGATTAATCCTGCTGTTTCACATTCCAGCTTTGGGGCGGCCATGAGGAACTGCAGGTTGAAGCTGGGGTCCATCAGCTGGTCTCTGTCAGCACTCCTGCTCCAGATAAATGGGCTTGGTAAGAGATTTGAGCACTCTGAAAGCAGCTGCTGAAGGGAGTTTCCAGTTCCCACTAGCACTTACAGAACTGACATCTGTCCCTCATTCTCATTCGCCTTATATTTGTCCCAAGACAAGTCAAAAGAAACCCCCACAATGAGAGAAAACATACTAGTGGTGATGCAGGATTTACTTAGCTAAATATATAAACGGAATAGTTTTGTGTTGCTGTTGGAACTCAGCAGGGCTCAGAAATGTTGTTTTCATATTCCCATCCCATTTTGCTTTTATTTCAGCTTCTTAAAATTTTTTCCCTCAGAAATTTGAAGCTGGGCAGAAATGTTCAGTCTGGCAAGAAACTGTGAGCTACCAGAAGCAGAAATGAGGAGCTGACCCTTCTCACTGCCAGAAGTCCTGGTGTCCTCCAAGGCAAGGTGTAGTCAGCTACAGCCATGGTCTGAGAATGATGAACTTGTGCAGTGTTGGTTTCGGTCTCACAAAAATGACTCAAGCTCAGGAACTCCTGTGTAAGAAATTCAAGGAAGTAAGTAACACCACAGCAGTAGAAGTATTTAAAACAACTTCATTTGATGAATTTGGGAAGATGATGCTCTGATCCTGTTGACTTCAAAAGAATTGTAGCCTTCTTCCTCTCTTGTATACCCATAACTGGCATATGAATCTACAGGCTGAAAACTTGCAGATAGGTTTTAGATAGCTTTGAATTTTCTGTTTAGCCAAAGAATAGGAAGGGCAGCAGGGTTGGTTGTTTTGCATTGCCTTGCCAGCGTAACTCGTAAGGATTGCCCCCAAAATTAGAAGAATAGGAAGTTTCTCACTTCAACCTTAACCTAGGCATAACACAACTACAAAAGTGCATTTTATGTCAACAGAAACTCCATGCTCTGTGTAACAGGAATGAACATACAACATAACAGAAAAGGAAACAGAAAATTGTAACATGCATTGAATTTATGTTTCTTTTATTAGCAAGGTAGCTAATGGCATAAAATGCAGTTTTAACCCTCTAATACACCAATAGTTCTGTCCCTATTTTAAAAAGTGGTGGACACTTTCACTGAGACAGCAAAGAGATTCCATGGAACTGAGTAAGTAATTACAGCAAGACTCACAGACATTAACAGAGACCTACCATGACTGCAGCAATAACTCCAGGTTTCCCTGACACTTGTCAGAGAGATGATGACTTTGTTGGCCCTTTGCTGTCCTCATGAGTTTGGCCAAAGCCGGTGGAGGAAAGGGCAGTATCTTCTGGATTTCTATCTAAAATTCCTAAGGCCTGTTGGGTTAGTTTTGCTATAATTGGCTCATTTCCTTGTGTTGATATAAGTAAAGGCATGTTGCCACTCTGGCTTCTGTCTTGGAAAATCTCAGCTTATATTCTTGAGTAGAACATCTTACTGATTTTAAAGAATTACCACAAGACCACAAGATCTGTTCCTTTTTGAAGGCATGAACAGTTTGTAGAATGACCTGGCTTCTTCCTGCCTTCCCATCTCAACTGTAAAGGAAGTCTGTAAGTGTGGAAAGGTAAGGATATTTACCAGTTATGAATTCCTGGAAGGTAAGTATTTCACTGCCAAAGAGTTGTCCTTCCAGTCTTAGATTCCAGCAAAAATTCCTGGTCTTAGTGTATTTTGGAAGATTTTTATAGAGCTCAGCAGAGTAGGTTTTATACTTAGAAGATATGCATGGTTTTGCATTGAAATCAACATTAATAGAGGAAAAAAAAATTCTGCTGTTAGAACCAAATCCTTCTTGGAACCAAAATCTCAAAATGAGATCTGGAAGTTAAGATGCTTAGAAACAGATATAAACTTTTGCTCAGAACCTCTGGCATTCATGGCACTATAGTAACACATCAGTCAGACTATTCAGTGTGTGAAATACAATATATTATGATGGATCACAAAAAATTAATTGTGCCTGCAGCTTTACACCACTGATAGATCATGCCTGCCTTGGGAGCAGTGAAGGTGCCAAAGGGGATATTTTGTAAAACAGAGTTTCATTGTGTGCAAACTTTTATGCAGTGAGTAAGACACAGGAAGGCACTGGGTTATAAAGCATGTACATGCACGTATGAATGCACACACACAAGACACTTGTGTGCTGTGAAGCACACAATAAAGGTTTGGGCATCTACAACCTGAACAGCATCCGTGCACATTTACATCTGGAATATGTCGTTCAAGTTAGAGTGGATTGTTAAGACTAAATAAAGCACCTAAAACAAATGAAAGTGAATAAAGACACATTTGCAAACAGCAACACAATTATTTACATTACATACTATTGTATTTGGTCTCTTCATATCTACTATTAGGAATATTTATTTTCTGACAGTGAAAATTTATATACTGTAAACATTGCTCCAATTCTGCAGATTCTAACACATGATCTTGAGCCTCTTCAATATAAGAACTAGGGTCCTAAAGTCTTGAGCAAGTAGACACTCCAAAACATATCAGAATAAAGCACAATAGAAATAAAGTTTCTGTTCAGAAAAAGATACCTTTCTTTTCTATCACTAAAGTATGAGATTCTGTTTAACTTGATTCTCTGCATAATGCAATAGCTTCAATAGATGTTGACAGTCTGCACAATTTAGCTTGAAGAACTGAATTTAAATAGGATACAGGCTTCATTTACTTATCATCCTAAATTGTCACTGCTTTCTTTTTAAGAAAGAGATCCAGAAAGAGAGCAAGGGGGTGACTAAATTACTCTAACCATCATGATTACTAGAATTTATAATACAGTCTGGAAGTTCTGAAGTCCTGTCTTGAGCTGAAGTTGAAAGGAGCTAAATACACAAATAATTGAGGCATACAGTTTTCTCAGTGCCCTACACTCAGCTGCAGCATCTACACAGAATTATGGCACTAGAGGATAACTCTATAACTGTTTGCAGTGATACCATGCCCAGGTATGAGGTCCCATCTTTCAGATACCAGTTGATCCATATATAAATGCAAACAAGTAACTGGTTTCCTATGGCCAGACATGTTGACCATGGCTCTCTGTAGATACTGGGGAACTTTGGAAACCAAGAGGATTTGGGTTCTGCAGTTTAGTAGCACATCAACTCATAAGCCTGCACAGCCTCTCCAGACTCTCTCTCTTCACATATAAACAGAGATAACCAACTTTACACACCATTCTGATATGCTTTTAGTGAATCAACATAAGTTATTTATAGATACTTCCATAGTATCATATTGCTGTAATGGGGGAAGTTTGTGTCTTGTGCCCCTGCTAGAAATGGGACATAAAGAATTATGACTTGGCTTCCCAAGGACCACGCAAAGGGATCTGAAATACCTAACAGATTATGTAGCATTTACATACAAGCACTGCAATGACATCTCCTAAAGGATGTGGAGTCTGTGTGACTGAAAGGCGGGCAGGGAGCCTTGGTAGTACTGTACACCTATTGTTTCCATGGATAGTACACCTACTGTATACTGGCATCCAAACTTCTTATTCTGCAGCTGGATCCAAGCTTCTAACCCCCAAAAGCTAACTGGAAATGGGAGAGAAAAAAGTGAGAGAGAAAGATTTCTTTGTTTATAAAATGTGAATTATTAGGCAATGGCAACACAGACAAACATTTTTTGGTGTCTGGCAGTCTGCAACAGTCTACTAGCTGCAGAGAACTTTTTATTTTATTTATACAGAATGTTTGCACCTAATTAAATGAAAAAGTAGAAATGTGCAGAACTACCTGAAAGTAATTCAGGGAGCTGACAAAAAAGGAGAAATTTTTTTAAAAAAGGAAAAGACATATTTCCCTCACTTTGTGGGTGGTGGGTTGAACACAGGGATCTGTGTCATGTAGCTGCTGACCCTAAGAAAGAGTGGGATTCTTACACTTACATCATGCTGTGTGGGGTCAGGTCTTATCATGTGACAGGCCATGACTCTCATATAAATCATTGCCATGTAAACTGTAAAAATCACACTTCATTTCTTGGAGACTGAGCAGTCTCAAGAAAAGAATTAAGATATCTGGTCATAAAATAGCAGCTGCAATATTAGTGATATACAAAATTAATTCAATTCTTTTTTCTGACAAACAGAGGTAAACCAAAGTTTTGGCTGCTCTTGGTTGGTGTTATTTGGCTGGGGGAATGTGGTAACTTTTACTTTCTTCTTTTTTTGAGGCCTTGCATCAGTTTAAAGGATGAAAGTTATGTAGCAGTGTAGAAAATGAGGTAGTTTTACCCAAATGGTTTTCTTTGTGGGCATCTGTAAAAGTCTAGGGGGATAAGAATCTAATACCTTGCCTAGATTTCTATGTTGAGCCTGCAGAGAAAACACTCCCATTTCATATTTCATCCAGTTTCTCACGCTCTCCAACCTTCACCAGCCATGACCTGTAGTTAGATGAGAGAGCAATTAAATTCAAATCTGCTTCCATCTACCCAGTCTAGCTGCTGAATGCCCCACACTGGGGATATATGGCATGGCAGGGGCAAGCATGGAATGTGGCTCATCTTCTCACAGTCCCAGGGCAACAACCAGATAAAAGACAGTCCCTTCCTGAGCTCCCCGTGATGCTGTGAGTCTCCTCCAGAGCAGGCTGCCCTCACCAGCCCCTGTACCTGCATCAGCAGGTGCTCTGCTGCATCCCCTGCACACACAGGGCCAACAGAGACCAACACATGAGAGCTGACCTTCAGTATTTATCACAAAACCTCACACTGTCTCCATCCACTCCCACTTTAACTGCCTCCAACGACCTGTGAGCATTGCATGGAGACCCAGGAATACTTCAGGGCCAGTGGCAGGAGGACTTTGGTCCCAGCAAAGCTGCCACCTCCCTGGCACACAGCTCATAGCATGGAGTTTCCTTTCCACTGCAGAATTGTGCTCCAGCACCTCTGCTTTGGTTTTCAAAGAGACACGTCCAGTCCTTCAATTTTTTGCAAACAGATCCCTGCAAATATGGAAGAAGGAGGAGTCCCTCAGAGCTGAAAATGCTCCCAACCAGCTGTAGGGAATACACAAGGCCATGGTTATAGCGTTTGTCATGCTTCCAGCATAGCAATTAATTTGTCATTTATTTTACCAGTCACCTCATATTTCAACTTTTGTGTCTCAGCTTCTTTCTGCAGCTATTTCCCAGGAGTTCATTTATCTGCGGTCTAAGGAATGTTCCCTGGACCTTAAGGCACCCTAGTTTCTCGTCAGGTGTTAGCTCTGCCCTCTAGTGCTGTGCCTGCCACAGGGTGGTGTGTCACAGAGCCATGGCAGGTGTTCAAAGCTGACTGGTCAAACACTAAACCACCAAAAACTTACAAGCTGACTAGACTGACTTGACATTTTTTGTGCCTCCTGGGAGCCGGTCACCAGTCTATTTCTAATCATTTAAACAGCAAACCTTTTAAACACAGCCTGCCTAAAGCCCAGCATTTTACAGCACCAACCAGTTCAACTAAAATCTATTTATTGCACGTTTAAGTGGCTCAACCTGTGGCTCTGATCCACCCCACAGGTTCTTCGCTGCTGGGGGTGTGACCAAGTGCTCTGTTGAGCAAAGGCAACTGAGAAAATTCTTCACCTCAGTGCCTGGAATTAAAGGTCCCAGTGAAAGGAACAGCTGAGCCAAAGGGACAACAGGGCTCTGCTGAAGCAGAAGGCTTTTATGGCAGACTGTCACAGCCACCAGCCATGGTACAGTCAGGAAATATAAGTGAGTTTTGGCCTGGATGCTTTGCAGTTTGCAAACCTTATGCAAGAACTTGTGACAGTGCTTTGCACTAAGCCAGTAGTATTTTTAAGCAGAGTTTTATGCAAACTCTAAAGTGCTGTGTTTTCCTAATTCCACTTGGGGAAAATGACATTGCTGAAACGTGCTGTAGCAGTTAGGATAAAGCTGTCATGTTTCCTAACTCTGCAGAACTGAGTACAGGGAGTTGAATGCAAGGCTGTTGATATCAATATCTGAAATGCCTTCCCTCCTTGCACAAGCCACGCATGTCATTACTAAGGTCACTATAATTTTTGGTAAGACAATAAAGAATGGGAAAATGGGAAATGCTGAAGAAGCTTTGAGTCTTCCTTGTCATAGCTGCTCATTTGTACTTGGGAAGAAAATAACCTTCCACAGTCCCCATCTTCCCTTTTCCACACAGCATACTATAAGGTCAGACATGTTTCACACCTCTCTGTGATCTTTCCAATATGTTCAGTACTTGAGAAGCAAGAACTGAGCATTTGGGAGCATAAGGCTTCTGAGTGATATGTAAAGATCATTGGAAGAATTAGTATAACAGTGAGTAGATTAGAAAAGCTCATGCAGATGCAGAGGTTTCCAAGCTACAGCAGGAGTTTGGAGAATTGAAGCATGGAGAAGAGGATAGAAGAAAAATTATCAAGCTCTTTTGCTTGTAGGCTAGG